AAGATAAGTGGTCATGCCTTCTTTTGAGGATAAAACATTCATTTGAAATATAATACGATAAAGATATCATCAATAAGTTTATTGAATTTGAGTTTATAATAAGGATTAGTTCATAAAGTTTTACTTGTTCTGCATATGTTTTTCATGATGCACAAACAGACTACATTTTATACTCAATAGTATAAGATGATCTTGCGAGAAATGTTCGATCGCATCATATTTAATCATAAATGAAGATTAACTTATCCGAAAAAGATTACACTATTTGATCTTAGCATTTATCGAACTATGCAATCGACTGTTCAATGAATAAGTTTGATCACATATCTATCAATACTTTAACGCTTTGAACTACTCAGATGTACTTTTTACAGCTAGGAGAAACATCGGCTAAAATAATCAATTGTAAGTCTATGTATTAAAAAGCAAATGTTTCTAAAAGTGCACAAATCTTCGGAATGTTTTATTTTGATTTACATCATATTGATACTTACATATTCTGATAGAAGCGAAAAAAAATCCAGTTGAACATGTTTATCTGAATGTATTTTCGTTTCTTTAGATAACTATTTCTTATTTCATTTCGATTTTTTCTTCCAGAGCAATATTATTGTATGTTATATGCGACACACGGTCGATAAGCGAACAATTTCTTTTAGTTATTATTTTATTGCAATTGACATGTTTACTTTGACTTTTCTTTAGCTGATAATGGTCAAAAAGTATTCAAATTATTTTTTGTTCCTATAATTATTTATTTAAGATTTCTTCAATGCTTTCAGACAACTCTGAATGAATCAAACAAAATTGTCCGTAATTAAGCCATGCAAGTGTTTTCAAACACTTTTTCATGTTAAAACTGCGACCCGAAAAAAATGCGATTGGCTGAACTCGCTTTATGAGAAAGTCTCATTTCAAAAAACTGACTCAACATCTCGAGATATATGTATACACGTAACTGCAAACATATAAGTATAGCTACAATCTCATTTTTTTTTTCATATGACTCTCCCTTCAGTCGAGGGAATATATATATATATCTATATTCTTTCGTTGTGTGAAACGAACATTTGATCATTATAGTTACTCAGCGCATTACCCTCGTTTCAATAGAGGGAACCATAAAAAGTCGACATGAATTCAGATGCATGATTTATAACTCAGAGCATATTATTGCTTCGCTGAGCTTTCGAATTATCGATAAAATTTTCCAAATATTGACTGGAAAAGATACTTTGAATATACAAAAAAAAAACACTTTTCCTTATTTTAAATTAAAGTACAAAGTGTAAACTACAGGTTTTTGTACTTAAGTATAAGTGCAGAAGTATTTGTCACAAAGTCCAAGTACAAATACTTTTGTCTTAGCTCTACTCTAAGAGATCCTATTGAAAGTATTGGTAAAAATATATAGAAAGTGAATTATTAAAAAGATCTGTTTTTTTTTCAATTACTTTGTAATTCATTTGGGTTATCTAGTGCATTTTTATCTCTCTTTCGTTTCAACTATAATTTGATAAAACAAGACCGAACAACGTGTGCAATGCGATAAAATAGATGTGGAGATATAAAAGAAAAATAAACAGTCAAGGACATATCATTTTTGTATTGATTTTACACCAGAGTCTAAAACTATGCTTTGCCTTCGATATTACAGCATTTTGCTCGTGTTTGTACTTTGGTCAATGGTCAATGCTCGTCGTCCATCTCTATTCGATGTGCGTATAGATCATTACAAAGTTGAGACTACTCAGGATTTAATTATCAATATCCCACGACCTCGATTTTCTTGGAAAATTCGTGTTTTGAACAATGTATCACAACGAAATGTTCAACAAACAGTTTATCGAATGCAAATTCAATCGATAAAAATAACTCAACGAGATAATCAATTCGTATGGGATAGTGAATGTGTTGTGTCGTCACAATCAATTCATGTACCATATACAGGTCAAAATGATCTTTTACCATCAACATATTATCGTTTTCGTGTACGAGTTTGGACAACAAACTCAGAAGAACCAAGTGAATGGACGGATTGGATTCAATTTCGAACACCTGTATTTAATTTACATGAATATCTGACAAAATACAATGCTCTTCTTTGGATTGGATCGACACAGATCAATATGAATGAATTAAGAAAAGAATTCATGATTCCAAATTCTAGTCCTATCAAATCAGCAATTGCTTACATTTGTGGTCTTGGTTATTATGAATTCTATGTAAATGGTAACAAAGTAGATCCAAGTCGAAAATTGGATCCTGGTTGGACATCCTACGAACAACGTACTCTGGTTGCTTCATTTGATTTAACAGCGAATATCACAGTTAGAATTTTTTGTTTTTTTGCTTTTAAAAGTTCATCTATGAATTCCTGTTTAGGCTGGCATGAATGCTGTAGGAGTCAGATTGGGTAATGGTTGGTATAGTCCAGAACAGCATGGCAAATCTGGCTATGGTATATAAGAGTTTAGCTTATTCAAAAGAGTTGTTTACTTTGAGAATATTTTAGGTCCACCTCGTCTTATTTTCATATTGTCTATCATATTTGAGAATGGTAATGAAATACAGGTTCTTAGTGATCAAACATGGACTGGTCGAGAAGGTTCAGTTAAACACGATAGTATTTATAATGGTGAAATATATGATAGTCGAAATGATCGTCCTAACTGGACTCGAGCAGGATTTAATGATTCTTTATCAGCTTGGATTATGCCTGAATCAATGCCATCACCACTTAACAGTTCGCGCAATGGTTCGCTCGTTCTTCAGGACATGTTACCAATTCGAGCTGGATCTAATGCATTACATTTTGAAGTTATGACAGATAATCAACAACAAGGTTACTTGAATCTTAAAGATATCGATGCAATCAAAGGTGCTAAATTAACCGATGGTGGAATACTCAAACCTGTAGCTATGTGGACATCGGATTCAGGTATATTTTCCTGTTTATCATAGAATAATTTAATCATTTTAATTATGAATTTTTATATAGGTGTTGAAACATTTGATCTAGGTCAAAATATAGCAGGATGGTGTCGTTTGAAATTTCATGGTCCACGTGGTTTTGGTGTTTATATTCGTTATGGTGAAGTACTAACCCAACCAGTTGTATCTAACAAGTAATATCTTAATAATTTAATATATTGTCATAGTTATTTATTTTTAGTCTTTCTACTCGCAATATCTACACAGAAAATCTGCGTGACGCTATAGCATCTGACACTTATGTATTGCGTGGAGATCCTGTTAGTGAAATCTATGAGCCGATGTATGATATATATTTTTTTTACTAACTATCATTTATTTTTGACTTTTTCTCCTTAGTTTCACCATTCATGGCTTTCGTTATCTGTCTATTTTTGGTCCACCGAATGAGTTGACACTCGATGATGTCGAATGTCCATTTGTACATAGTGAAACAACGTTGAAAGGTCATTTTTCTACGACCAATCAAATCGTCAATCAAATTCAACATAATATCCTATGGACTCAATTGAGTAACCTCATGTCTGTGCCTACTGATTGGTCTGTTATACACATATATTTGTTATTAACAAGCTTTTCTCTTCACTTTTTTTGTAGTACACAACGTGATGAACGTCGAGGATGGATGGGTGATGCATCATTAACAGTTGATGAAGCATTGTACAATTTTGATTTAATCAAATTCTATCGTAACTTTCTCAATATGATTGTTGATGATCAACTAGCTAACGGTGAATTACCTGATTTTTTGCCCGTTGGTAATAATCCATCTAAACCAAATTGGCGTAGTAATTATCCAGCTGATCCAAATTGGGGTTCCGCATTGCCAACAATAACTTGGCAAGTTTATCGACACTATAGTGATGTTCAAACACTGGAAGATTATTATGATCATATTGTTGCATATGTAAAATATCTTCATGATATTTACAATACAACGGGTCTTGCTAATTTTACTGTCCGATTTGGTGATTGGGTTCCACCACCACCAGAACTTATGACAAATGGAAGTCTAATTGGATCATTTGGTTTTCTTCATGATGTCAACCTTTTAATCAATATGTCTCAAGTACTTGGTAAAAAAGAAGATACTGAAATTTATTCAACATTATATCAAAAACTTGCTGAAGAGTTTCATCAAGTTTTTTATAATACTTCGTGGAATTTTTATGCAGATGGAAAACAAGCAGCACAAGTATTAGCTTTAGCATTACCCGGTGTTGTACCGGCAAATGTTCGAGATACAGTTATCAATCAACTCGTTACTGATATCAATCAAAAAGACAATCATGTGACAACAGGTATTGTGTCAACAGCTCAAATTTATCCAATACTTTCTGACAATGGACATCATGATTTGGCACTTGAATTGATATCATCAACAACTTATCCATCCTATGGTTATATGTTTAACAATCCTTATGAAAATGCTACTACTACATGGGAACTTTGGAATACACCACTGACAGGACCTGCTATGAACTCTCGTAATCAAGCTATGTATAGTAGTGTTGGTGCATGGTTTTATTCACATTTAGCTGGTATTGATCTTTCATCAAATATGATTACTATTCGACCTCGAATGGCTTCTGAGACTAAAAAACATCTTATGTCAAAATTAGACTGTCAATTGAGCACATTATATGGTCTCGTTCTTGTTTCCTATACACGTGATGAACGTGATACTATTTCCAATTCAATTTTACTTCGTGTTACTATACCACCAAATGCACAAGCTCGTATTATGTTTGAACCATTATTCGTTGGTGGGCAATGTAAAGCATTGATCGAAGGTAATAAAGTTATTTGGTCATCGGATGTCAATACTATGAATGATCAAGGATTTAGTATTGAAAAAGATTCAACAACGGGTTTGATGACAGTACATATTGGTTCAGGTCAATATGAATTTCAAGCATTATGGCAATGAATACATGTTTGAGGAGAGTTATCGATTTTTTGTATGTGTGCGTGTGATGTTTGTCGCGATATTATAAGAAGTGATTAAGGATAACTTGTATGAATAAAAAAAAATAGTTAGTTAAGTATAAAACGTTGAATATGTATATTCCAAGTGAAGTAATGTAAAAAAAGCATGCGCTTTAATTGCTTCCATTAATAAATCATTAGAATAGACATCTTACAAACAACACTGACAACATATTATTATCAATAAGTTAAATAAAAGCAAAACTCTTTGAAATCAATTTTATTAGTTATAAAAGTGACGGTATGGAAATGAGATGTAAAATTCGTTTGCAATTATATGTGTACAGAATAACAGGTCATTGTAACAAGCTAAATGAAAGAAAAATAGTTACTTATATTATTTCCCATCGACGAGGCATAGTTAATGGTATGCAAAGATCAAATCTTTTCGCTAATTTGTACGGTTATCATTCTTAAAATTTGCTTCATATAATGTTTGCATTAAAGTTAGCTTTTGTCATGATTTATGCTCTATCAGAAGAAGTTTTTCTAATCAGTGGCTACAGCAATGAAATACTCTCAGTATAAACATACACAACCCATGCAGACAAGTCAACGGTTAAGACAGTGTTTCAACGAGTTTAGATAGAAAAATGGAGAAAAAAACGCTGGATAACTGGTTCGTATGATAAATCAAAAGACTGAACTGGTTACAATGAGTTTGTTCTGATATCAACATGTTTTAACGGGTTCAGTATACCAAAGTGATGATTTGATACATTTTAATGCATGAATCAATTCGTTTTCATGCGTTCATTTATACGAAATACGATCAATAAGCTATCACTCATTGAAACTTGGTTCTTATTCTTTTTTTCAATTGACAACGGGCTTCAATGACAAGATCAGACATGTTACAATGTAATCGAATGAAAACATAAGTCATTTTATTAAATAGAAAGATCAATATATTTTATGTACTCAAGCGTTGGTTGAGAAATTGAAAGAAAAATATTGATTTAACAATAGGAATAAAGTACATTTGTGCAACGATGTGTCCGTTCATTTGTCGAGTTACGAACGAGAGTTCATTACTGTCGGTGAAATAAATAATTGTTTCTAAAAATCCTACAGTTGGCGCATCATTTTTGTCATATACGTAGAATACAACCATTGTATTGAGCGATGAACATCGGTAGAATCAGCTGAATAACGTTGACGATCGACAAAAATAGTTTTGTATAGAACATATGATCGATCACCTGTGAATTTAAGAACAAAATTCGACAGATCCATTGCAAGAGAAATTATAGACATGTTTTTATGCACTCAAGTCTTATGATGATTCAAATTTGGTATGTAAGTAGATATGGTGTAACGCATGTTACAGTGAATCTGATGATCAAAAAGTTGTATTTCGGGAGAGAAAGAAGGATCAGTTGTTGCGTTTTGATTAGAACAAAACAAAGAGAAGTTTTATATAAGTTTATAAGCAAAGAAAATGTGAGATATGACAGATGCATCGTATATAAAGCTTCAAATCGTTTGTCAAATTCTTCAAGAAGATCCAGAATTTCAAGATAGGTCGATTGATCATGTCTCGATGCTTCAATCAAATGTACAACAAATGCCAAACATTGAAAATGATTATATCTTTCTGGTGTAAGAAAATATGGGAAAGGCTCAGGAAAATCCGAACAGCAAAGCTATTTTGAGTTGATTAGCTTTATAAACGGAATGAAGCTTTAAATCTTGAGGTGTTCAATACGTCGAAGATGGATAAGATATTGAATTGAATATTAAAGTAATTGCATCAATAGCTTTTTTCCACTTATTTCTTCAGATATACCAGATCCGAAAAATATTTGTAACATTCGAGCCCTCTAATATACAGTAAATCCAATTACGAGATTTAATAAACAGTTCTTCACAAGATACTCACTCTTACACCATCATATAATGTATGAAGTGTGTCAGATGTAAAGGACTGATGTACATCGAAATGTTCTAAAGCTCGAGGAGCATATAGACCTTGTAATTCATCTAGACCAGTATTAATTGAATTAATTGATTCATGTGTTCGTCTTCCTAATGGTTGCTATGCAATGTGAGAAAGAAAAAGTACTAAAGTATTACAATTTCGAAATATCTCTTATTTCAAGTAATCGAATAGCTTCATCATATGAACTATTAGAGCGTAATTCAACATCACTGTTGTTATTATACAAGAAAATTCGTGTATTACAATCATCAACTTTCACATTTTCTCTTAAAATGGAAAGGAAACGGTATATATAATAATCTCTTCTATATCAATAATCCGAAGTTCTGTGTGCTCTACAGCTTATCTTACATAGTTTGTTTCGTTACGAATTTAGTACTAAAGCTAAATCTCTTCTTGCCAAACTATGCACCTAGCATTTTACAGTGTGGACGTCCAAAATAGCCACTTGCTTCATTATGATTTATGAGCTGCGATTCGATAAACGCGCACACTTTTTTCACTGTGAGAAGATGAATTAATTGGAGTATATCGAAGACCTTTATTTTCTAGATTAAACCAGTTGTTTTACTAGACCATCTAAGAAAATCGGCGTTCCGACTTTTTTTGTTTTGACGAGCCGATCGATATCATCCCAATAATTAGATTTTCTCGATTAAATCTAACAGATAGTGAAAGTTCATTTATTATGAATGTGATTATCCAAATTGATTGAGAAATAGATTTCACTACGGTACCATAAGAGTTCATTAGAGTGTAATGAAAGGATTTTGTTCACAATGTAATGTTTTCCGATAAAAGGGTACATCAACAATATCAATAATGATATTTTCATCATTTTCTGGTTTAATCAAATTATTATGCTGAGGAGGGTGTGGGTGTGAATAAAGAGACACCCACCCACATCCTCACCCTACCCACACCCACACCCACACACCCCCACTCCATCCACACTCACAGGTTCTCACTGATACTTTGATTGAGGGCGAAGGTGCCGTTCACGATTGGTGGAGTTGCATTGATTGAAATTACTTGGCGGTAATACGATAGAAGAATTGTCAGCTCGTCAGAGTTGTTCGTATTGATCGTATTCTCCACAAACAAGAACTCAAGAGTTAAAAGCAGCACTATAGAAGGCATCATCCTCAAAAGAATTGCTGTTCCATACACGAAAAGAACACAGAAAAAAATAACGAAGGGAAAGAAGTCAAAAAAGGAACCATACAAGCTTTGATTTCATGCGCTCAAAGTATTTATTGAACATTTCATCGCTCGCTAGTTATACCAACTGAAATTGATATTTAAGCTGAATATCGAGCCTGAGTAAAAGTAAGCGAATTTTGAATGCTTTCTGGCACAAACTTTTTATTTCTTATTGATCATAAAAGACGAGACATCGTATTTCAATACTTTCTTGCTCGATATCCGTCGAAGGCACATGCTCGTTGACAAAAGCTGTATGAGCACCAAACCGATCACCATCAGGATTGCTGTCGAAGATTTTGAAGACAAACATTTCGTCTGATCGCATCTCGCTTAAATAGTACCATCTTTGAGCATCTTGAGCGTTATGCGAGATTGCATAGACTCCAATGCTAGCGTTGGCTCCCTGAACCTTTGCCAGATGAATATCGTTCTCAATATCTAGTGATTGATAGTCGCAAATGGTCAAAGGTGTATTTATTATGGGATTGGGCCCGATCGGTCGCCAAACATTGATAATTTGGAAGCGTTTTTGCATGAGTTTTTGGGCTTCTTCTGCACCGAGTACTTGTTCCACTTTGAAGCGAGCTGAATCCGGAACATGATCGACATGCGGATAGAAAACAGGATTCTTGTGAGTCTGATTGCATCGATCGGCAGCACGCGGAGTCCCTCGATAGCGGAATATGTGGTCGAAGACGACTACACGAGAGGCACCCAGACGTTTCTTAAGCAGAACAACAATATCCTCATAATAATGTTGTTGCATCTCACTGCCATCGTCGAATTCATCGTGTACATTACCATCATATTTGAGTATTTCAAAGCCATTGGTGTCAAGATCGACGCTATTCTCCTTGCCCCGCAAATCATGAATGGTAATTCGAGTCGGCGTATGTGTAAAGTTCGTTGTTGTCCTACCCAACTTAGGATTTGCATTAACCAATGGAGGAGAGCCGTCTATTGGAGGACTAAAGAAATATATGTCGCCAGTAATGTCACTGCCCATGGTCAGTTTCAAATAACATGAATAAATATACTAAACACATGAAACGAAAGAGATAATGAAAGAAAAAAGATTCTACTCTCTCAGTTCTCCTTATCTTATCCAAGATAGAATACTGTGAAGGATGGATGAAATGAGAGAAATTTATCATTTGTCTATTGAAAAGATAAACAGTTGGTCCTATGGACTCTTTTCGTCCAGTATCATTATCTATCGTATGAGCGAATTAGTTTCTTGTCTTTCCACGAAATAAGTTCATATTGGAAATATACAAATGATGCATTTCTTAAAGCAGAATGACAAGCGCATCCGATGAGTTGACAAGGAATGTCCGGAGCGATTTTTTTTGAAATTAGTCGAAGATCAAGGCATCAATTTGTTCATCAGTTACTGGTACGCCTTGAACAGTAAGCATCTGCTGCATAAAACTACTTAGTAAGGAAGAAAGGCAAAACACATAGAAATTCTAAATTGTTTTTCATCTTGGATGTGGGTGTGGGCAGGAGTGTATGGTTATTATTTCAATGGACACTCACACCCATACCATTCAATTGAATTTCCGCGACTTTTAGCAAAGGCCAAGATTGCTCTTACGTAGACCATGATTTGTTTGTTAGGATCAATAACACACAAATTAAAGCTGTACTATTGATATCTTTTTATTTATGTTTTTACTTCAGAAGGGTGTGAGTGTAGTTAAAGAGAAGAGCCCACACTCACACCCTGAGATAGAAAGGAGACAACCAATATCTCTTCTCAGTATATATATGAAGAAACGGAAGGGTGTTATTGTAGATGCTGATATTCTTTTCTCGCTCACGCATATCCACACCCATACTTTCCGGTACAAATTCATATTTTTTTGAACGTTTATTCATCTTTTTGGAACACACTAATAGACAGAAAATAGAACATTAGAGCATATCAGTACGAAGGTCAGGTCGAGTAAATATGTCCTCATTGATTGTCTGTTGTACATGGTTCACTGGATTCTTGTTTACGACCAACTTGAAAGTCTGAAGAGCAGGCATGTAATCTCGACCAATAAACCTTCGAATCCAATTTAGAATTTGATTATTCATGTTTCCGGTAATAGCATGATGTAACGTTAAATGTTGCAATTGAATCATAGCATTTTCGATATAGTCATTTTGAGTATCCAGCAACAACGAGATTGATGAACTTTTGAAGTGCACATAAATTTCGACTTGACGAAGGCGTGATCGTAGACCGTACAAAACATCAAGAAGTACACGAAGCTCGTCAACGGCTAGACTCACTAAACATTAAAAACATTTTTTTCTATAAAAAATATGAAAGTGATACTTGCTAAAGGAGCAAAGAGTCCTTCGTATTCCAATCAAACTTTGATGTCAGAGTTCAAAATCAGGTAGTTCCAGCAACAATAGATCCTTTCTTTGCATTTTTTTTGACATAGTTTTCCGAAATCATATACTTCTAAGCATAAGAACCGAGAGACAAGAAATCTCTAACACCTCGAAGTACACTCTGAAGTCGCTACAAAGGCAGATCAATTCCCAATGAGTAGAAAACCAATAGATCGAATACTGGATGTTAATGATGACTTTAGAAAACAGAGACTTCAATAAGTTTTTCAAGGTTATTTTACGTGATATGTTCAGTTTTTTTCACACTATGTACAATATCACAAGAACAGTATCTGAATAGGTGACATTGGATCAATTGAAATCTAGGTTGTAGAATGTTGAATAATTGACATTAGCAAAAGTATAATCAGAAGAATCAAAGTATATCGACTGAATTGATTGTATAGCTGTTAACCTTGCTCTAACAAAGGTACTTACACGAAGATAATGTGTTTAAAAAGTTCAATGAGTTCAGAGATCGTCGTTATTCGGATACAAAGAAGCTCAAATATCTTCCTACTTCTGTATTTTCCATACCCCAAAGATCGTTTTATCAATGAAGAAATAGTCACGAACGGAAAAACAGAAAAAGTAGAAATTCTGATCCATAAATTAACCTGCATATGTAGTTCTATTTCTAGTTCTCTTGCATTGAAACAGTGGAGACTTGACAGAAATCTTGAAACAACTAATGACGCAAGAATAGATTAATCGAATAGAACTGCACTGTTGGGACAAATGTATCTCCCCACAATACTTACGAGTGTGTAGAGGCGCGACGGTGATAGGCGGATACTTGAAGAAAGTGATGATGTAACTCGATGGTAGATGTAACGTATGTAAAGTGGGTACATAGCCAATTAAATCAGAGACAAGAACAGGCAATCTTCCCATGCGTAGAAAAGTAGCTTCAGCATTATTCATAGTGATGAAACGTATCTTATTGACACCGTCAAGTGCAAAACGCCAATCAGTCCATACGAATTCCATTAGATCTCCTGGTGCAATATTGACGAGGCATAATCGACGAAGAGTCCGAAGTTTTAAAAACCGTTCAGTGAATATCAATGAATCAGTCGTTATAGATGGAACAGATACTAAACAGTTCTCGATGATATTGCGGTGACGAGCAGATAATTGCTGCCAATCCGCGTGACAGATGACACCTGGTTCGAAGAGAACTGTGCTGACACGAGTATTGATAGATACAAATGAATGCATCAATTCCGAGCATGAGAAATAGGAGAATAGCTCAAGCAATACGAGGTCAGGGAATGTATCGAATGTTCTCACTTCCATCTTAACGAATCGAAAGTATTTCATTCAATTCTGCTATAATATAGGATGTTTAACAATGATCGTCCGCTGTCATGTTAAACAATGCACGATTAGGTCATTTGATTAAAGATACTGCACTATGCATTTTAAAATCAGACTAAAACTGTGAGAACTTTCTTGCAGACAATCAAATGTCCTTGTCGATCTTTTCTCACGTAATTGGAACAAAATAATGAGCGAAAGATTTCCAAAAGTGATATTCTTCTTATATCAAATATAAAATGAAATTTTTAGAAATCGAAACATGTTTTAGATGGAAGGAGTAATTCTTCAATTAGATATTCTTGCTACTCAAATTCGATGTCAGCGAGCAAGATGAATTCATAACAAAATGGATGAACCTCGTTCATGGAATGTTTTTTAAAAAAAATGTTAGATTGAAATAAAAGGATCAATTGTCTCTTTCGAATCTACAAAAAAGTTGTACCGATATCAATGAACTCATTCATTTGTAAATGAGTGAGTGAAGTTCTTCTTTCATCTAGTTTCATACTTAAATTTTCACCCTCAATTATCAGCACTAGAAAATTCACTAGAAGTAGGATTTTTAGTTCGATCGACAGCTCAGGTAAAACTAAGTACTATCAACACACAAACACCATAATTGATGAATATTTCTGCTTGAGAAGTCTGATTAAGTAAGATCTTCCTGAGCAATGTCTTGATGCACTATCAGTATCATCGAACTTCTCTTGATACTGATTCGTAATTATTCTTAGAATCAAGTTCAGTTGAGAACTCATGTTTTTGACTAAAGCTTATTCTAACAATACTCAATTATTAGGTTTTTCTCACTTTTGATTTGTATGTATTTTGGTTCTCTGCAGTCGTGTATAGGAAAAATAGAATTTAAAAAGAAAAATATGTTCAGTCAAACAGATGAAAGTGACATCTTTTTTGATGGATCAAAAAAATTAAAATTTTTTTTCTGATCGATTAATTGTTAATAAAGATGACAAAAGAATTGATTTTGATCAAGATATTGATGCCGAAATGGTTAATCTTGTTAAACAGTTATCCAATCATGTTGTTTCTTATTCATTAATCAATATCAAACTCATCATCAGTTATAGCAACACATCAATAAACCATCATTTGATATATAAAATCCCTAGAGACAAATAACCAACAACTGAATATAAAAAAATGAAAAGTGTATCAAGATGATTTAAATATTTACTGCAAAAACAATTGAATCTGAACGATTGATAGAACAAATACTGATTCAAAGTATTTGCCATATTTAATTGTCGAAAAAAGGATATATCTTTGAAGTGGAAAAATTTATGAGTTAAACTTTATTCTCGTAGTTCCACAATCGAACACACTTAAAATTGTCGAGGCAAGTATACGCAAAAAGATGTCCATGTAAAAAAGAAACTGTCTTCTGCTTGAAAGAGTTTTGAAATAACAGAAAAATTTCTTCGTATACTCGAATTGTTTTTTTTCTTTAACTTCTTTCAATTTCGTCTAGACCATTTTGGAATTCGATTGAATTCAACCATCGATCACATCATATATATATATATATAATTAAGAAAGAATGAAGCATAGAACACATTCTTTCTCCTTTTACACAACATCACTATGCAGTGATTATTCTTCTTCAGAAAATGAATGATGAAGGTGTAACTTTCATCAATCTATCCTCAAACTATTCAGTTGCGTCTGAACGTGGGCCATTAACCAATAAAGATCTTCTGGAACTTACGAAGTAACATGAGCATATCATTGATGATCCAACTCTTTTTGCGCTCAAGTATCGAGTATTACCTCACACAATGATTCGAAATGGCCATTACACTCTCGGAGATTATGATGATGCTTTCGCTTTCAATCTCACTGATGAATTTTCCTCTTTAGGACGGGGATGATAATTGTGTGTAAAACGCTAACAAGGTGGTATATATCATGCAATGAGATTAGTTATTTCGTTTCGATTTATCATAAACGGCAATCGTTGAACTTTTCTTTCTTTAACAGTATTATACACTTTCTCGTCATTGAATATAGAGCAGATCCAAACATATTAATTTATGACTGGATTTATAACACTTCTGATAAAAATTCTCTTGTGTCGAAGGTTTATATTGATTTGGACAATTATCTGTCAGATAAAGATGAATTTCTTCAAATTGAATTCGTTTTCTACCATAAAAACATTTTTTTTTGCATCCATCAATTACTAATAAAACGTATCTCACTTCTTTCAAACTGAAATTTTGCAGAAATAATAATAATAAAACTTTTCATAGGAAAAAACCCTGCGAAGCGTTCGACCATTGGTAGAAAATTGAGCTGAAATATTTTTCTATCGACGTTGAATATATTCCATGACAGATATCCAACCTTCACAACTTCAACAATCAAGTATGCTTGCCTCTGTTGACACCCACACCCACACCCTTTAATTAAAACATTGATCATTCATTCAATTTACGGATCATTCATTTATTTTACTGATTTTATAATTATTTCACTTACTGGCCATTTCATTTATTCTATTGACCACTTAAATCATAGCCTTGCTTTACTAATATATAAAGAAATAATAAAAATCTTACAAAACAAAAAAATCAAATTCATTAAGAAAAAAAAATCTATTGATCAATAAAATAAGTTCTATATCTATTGTATGCGTTGATCAGTATCTTCATCTGGTGGTCGTTGATAATCAGGATTGGTAAGTAAATAAATAACAATCAAACTGAATAAAAGTGTAAATACACCAAAAAAATTCATAATCAAACGTCTCTTTCGTTCTGCATCGTCTTTCACAAAAAATGATGAAAACGTTCCTAATTCCGACAAACCTGCTAGAATTGTTATCACAGCAGATAAAAAGATTATTTTACCCCAAAATCGATGACTAAAATAAAACATTTATTAACAATTATTTAACCATTAAAGAAAAAAACAAAAGCATTACGTTGGCATATATTTTGTACGGGTGTCTAAACTTAATTTTGGAAATAAAAAACTAATAAAACCACAAATCCATTGTAGAACAAATAAAATAAGTGTTAATAATCCAAGCCATGAATGAAATGATATAAAATGGGATTCATTATCGAGAATTTTGGCTCGAATTATAGCGGTAAATCCAACAGCACCAAATATCAATGATAATATTAGAAAAAGAGCATGTAATATTTTCACAGTTAATTTAGGTGTTTGTCTAAATGTTCTATATAAAAGAATAGCATTTCCATAACAAAATAATAAACCAGTTGTCATCATTAATGGATGAAAAGTAAATGGATCTGTTGTCCAATTATAAGTACTAGAATAGACATGCTTATCAAAAAATAAACCAACGAATAAAACACTTAAGGCACCAAAGAATTCACCCAAACCTAATAATATTGGATAGTTTGATTGAGAATTTCTGCCTAATATTGCAAACATTTTTCTTAACAATAAATTTTACGACTCAACACTGTCAGATAGATAAAACACAACTATTATTATAACCTTGATGAAAAACGTATTATGTTATAGTTTCTTTTTTTTTTCAGTTTATGTCAATATTTAATACAAAGATTTCATATCTCAAATGGCAAAGCAAAACATTCGTTATACTGACATACGTCTTTTTTCATAAGAGTTATCTTTGCTCGATGTATAATGATGAAGCAAGTTTTTCGTCCAATAATAAAAATATTTTTTCTATTCTTCTAAATATTAATTCATTAATAAAGGAATGCAGAATTATTGTCATTTATTATAGATATTCTATTGATAGATTTATTTTAATAAAAACCATCTGTTTTTATTCAAAAAAAAACTATGGAATATCGTCTCAGGAAAATAAAGTTAATTCTCTAAATTTAACAAGTGAAAATGGAATCGTTGAGAAAACATATTTTGTCTAGCTGCGAATATGTATTTTGCAGTCCCATAAGATGGGTTGGTAAGAGTGAGAATGAGAATCGATGAGTGTGAGCATGAAGGTGAAGAGAAAAATCATTTTTATCCTCACCCTCACAATTATGAGTATTACTATCCCAACGAGCAGGACAAGAAGAATGTATACTCCCCATTTTTGCACAAATATTCTCGTGAAAAGACGAATTAGATACATAAATAGCCAGAAAATGCTGAAATATCGGCCTAATTGATTGAGAACAGTCACCACTGCTTGTTCTGAAACTATAAAACTGTAACAGATCATGTATGCAGCGAAAACGGTAGCCGTTAAGACCCCCCCCCCCCTCAGAAATTGATCTCAACCCAGGTACGTTCAGATGGGCTGACATTTGGAGCATATGTTGGGACTGAAGTGAGGATGCTATGGTAAAATTTTCAGCTTGATATCCTTGACGTTTAACAGAGATATGAACCAAACAAGGGTCAAAAATTGCTCATTTTGTCCGCAAGATTTCTCTGTAAGCCTTCATCCAATATATAGATTTTTTTTTGTTTGAAAGAGTATCTCAAGATGCAGATCCTGTGAGGCTTCTTTTTTTAAAACTCTTATCTATCAAGCAGAGAAAAGGGTTAACAAGTTCATTCACTCGAAAAAATCTCAAAAAATCTCAAAAAATGGCGCTCTAATTATAAAAATGCTTCTCAATATAATAACAAAGCTTCATTCAGAAAACCGAGCCTCACAGGACCTGCAGTTTTTGACGCTCTTTCAAACAAAAGAAAATATTTGACTTTATATCGGATTATAGTTGACTTTTGCTGGACATACGTCATTCGACCACCATTTTGAGAAAAAACGAAAAAAAGTTTTGGATTTTTCGAATAGGGATCGTCAAAAATATTGAAATTTTTTCGGAAAAAAAGGAGGTATCGAAGAAAAGATTTTATCATTTATGAAAGAGCAAATGACAGGCTATCTCCCCATGTATCTGTCTCAATCTTGACCATTCTGACGAAAACTAACTTTTTTGAGGGGGGAGGGGGCCCTTAAGTTAACGAATAGTTCGGATTAACACAGGCGTGGACAGTTGTGGGTGTAAATATGTTTATGGTTGTAGGCGGGTGTGGAAGCACATGTGTCTGTTGGGACGAAAAAGTAATAGACTCACACCCTCACCCACATTCATCCCACACCCACGTCCTAGGGCAAATTTTTTTACAATCCTCAGAAGTTTGAGGAGTTGAGCCATCCCTAAAAGTCTCACAATTAACAGTTCATAAAACACACTATGGCGGCACTCACTGATATTCCTAATAAATGATAACTTTTTATTTGGTTATTAGTCAATTGAAAACAAGGTAAAAAAAAATGAGCTCGACATGTAAACTCGAAATTTCGAGCTCACTAACGCATCCGCATTTTACCAAACAAATGTAGTCCATGTTTTATGATTTACAGCAGTAAGATCCTCTTCGACCGGAACCATAGATGAAGAGTCGTATGTGATTATTAAATAGTTAATAATGAATTAATCACTACTCACCCTAATTAATTGAGTACCAATTAGAGTGAGAACTATTTAGGGTAGGTATTAGTTAATTAACTAATTTACAGTTACATGATGCTCAGTGATGGCTCCAAGTGATAGAAGCCTACTATTTGCTATAAACTATACAACATGGACTGAGGTGAATCGATAAAACATGGACTGGAAAAAAGTGAGCTCGAAATTTGAGGCCTGCATAGTTTCGATCTCACTTTTTTTGACCTGAAAACAAATATATATATAAAAGTAAAGCATTTTCTTTAAATAATATTATTCTTTTCTCCTAACAATTAGAACATATATTGAGAAAATATGCAGCAAAATCATGTTGTTCTTCGAATAAAACCCGAAGGAATACGATGTTGGATAACATTGAGGCAGAAAACGACTCCTAATCATACCTTAATCAAGTTTTGTTAATCAGAAGATTGTTCGGACCGTCAACCGCTTTTCTTCTAACTCGATGTGAAATCAGAGGTGCAGAATCTACCCGCGTGCGCGAACGACCGTTCGGGGAAATTTTAGGAGACCTATCAATGTCTGGAGAAGTTTTTTGAAAAATAATGGGTGTTATATAATGTTTGTCGCAGTTTTGTTTTCTATCTTTTGGCAATTTAACACTTGACTTTATGAGATGAAAACCTATTGAATTATTAAACTGTAAATTCTTGTTTTCCAACCGATAAAAAATGATTTATGTCAGTGTATGCTCATCTAAGCCAATTCTAAAAGCTAAGTATTGTATAACAAAACATAGAGAATTTTTCTATCTATATGCTCACAATCTTAGCATGGTTTTGAGGGTTTTGTTCAGAATGAGAAAAGTTGCGAACTAAAATCTAAAGATATTTGTGAGTGCATTATGAAAAATTATCTAATCAAAAGTCAGACTTAACCTATAAAATGCTGATTCTCGTATTATCAGATACACAATTAAATTCTGAAGTGTTCGTTTAAACAGTTAAAATATATAGGCTACTTTAAATCAATCGAAAAAAAATAGTAAAGATTTGTCCGGAAGCAGCTTGTCTTGATATTTCGTTATTTTTCTATTTCAAAAATTTATCTCTCAAATATTTGTTCTGACACTTTGAAAGTTACACCAAAAGTTGTAGAGCTTTATGTAGAATATTATAGCATAATTCAATTTTCAGCAAATCCGTTTCTAAAAGTTCTTTATAATTTTTACTCTTTTTTTTTGTTTTTCACACTTGTACGATGGAGGAGATGCTAATCTTGCTAACTTTGCTCTGACGCAGAAAATCTAATTGAAAAACAAAGTCGACAGACAACACAATGAGCAATTGTGATTTATTATGTAGACGTGACATTTTTTTTGCGAATAAGCACTTATTTCGTCTCTAAGATTATTATCCACAAAGCTTAGGAAACACTCGAAAGTAGTAAGTCTTTTTTGAAAACATTAATTTTTTTCGAAAGATTCAGCTGAGAAAGGGAGATCTTATGGTGAAAAATCTGAAGAAAACTATTGCTCTATAAATATGATTGTACCATATATGGTGTGATGCAGTTTCTCGTGCTGATTCTGAATATGATCTTTTTATTGAATAAAAACATTTCTCAATCGAAAAAAATAGAAAATACCTGAAAACCATGGGTTTTTCAAAAGCCTCCCGTATGGGATTCAGGAACACATATGGTAATTGTAGTGATAGATAAAATATGAGAGAATGTTCTGGAAAAGCTTGAATCAGTATCGAATTAGATTGTGAAGGGGGGCGCTCATTTTACTTATAGAATCGTATGGAGAATCACTAAGAAGAAAAAAAGAAAATTTTATTCTAAAGAAGGATCAGTGATAACTGAACACTTAGTTTTAATAATCGGTAGCTGACATTATGCAAATTTATAATATGTATTGTTTTCAGTTGCCACTTCAAAGAATTCTGTAGAAAAAAAAATTTGAATTGCATAGATGGTACTGTTTTCAGACTAATGTTAAAGGAGTTGATCTTCCGCTCTATTGAAATTTTGTAGCAAAAATTTTAACGCCATTGAATACTCGATAGTCCGAAGTATGTGTAGCACTATTCGAATCTTGCAAAAGTAAGTTTTCAACTGTTTACCTAATGTTCACTAGGTAGCCCACTGTGGACAGTTTTATAGAAAATTAAATTCTTTAGTTAGTGACATAGAAATCAAAATTTAAAATAATTGTTAAATGCTTTGAAGATAAAGTATGAAATTGGACCATTTTTACATATGGCATCCGTTACTTTTCTCTCCCAGGAAATAATTTCACAATCTTCCAAAAGAATCTCTTCTCGAATTTAGTAGTGAGAGAAGTTCTGTCGTTCGAGAAAATTTTTCATTTTAGCGGCAGATTCTGCACCTCTGTGTCAAATATATAATCCATTGTCCTCATATCCGAATAACAGAATCCTAGCGGTTCTTAGATCTTTGCACACCTTCTGTCCTCTTTATCAACCTCTTTCTAGGATGAGTATTTTTTTAATCGAATCAACGTCTGGTCTATCTACTATATACGATTGAACAAGATAGATATACGACAGAAAAATATTTGTGAAAAAAAAATCATATTTTGCAGTATAAGGATAATCGTATCTCTTTAAAGATGCGTTATAAGCACAAACTCTTGTAACCTGTTCGTAATTTTATTGAAAACTACTTACGGTCAAAAGATAGAGTCGAAAGCTTCGAATTAGTTCGAACATTTTTCTCATTAGACTTGAGTATGATCAAAACATAGATTTTCAGAATCATTACATAATAGTTTTAGGTGGACTCTATTTAAAAATAAATCTGATTTATATTTGCTTTCTTTGATGTGAAAATTAATTTTAATTTATATTTTCAATTTATAAAGAGTAGAATTCTAATTATTCAAATAAATATAGATGAGATTCTTTTTCAAAACAATTTATAAAGATCACACTTCTCTGAATTTTTTGTTTTGCAAGTGTAATAGTGGTTCAATATATCAATAAAGGCTAGCATCTAATATAAACT